CTTAAGAGTAAATCACTATTATTGTTTAAAGAAAAAAACCTCATAAGGTTTTTGTTTTCTTTAAGTAAATTTTGATTAAATGTCAGTACCTTTTTTATTTCTACATTAGTAGCAGTAACTCAAAAAAATCGAAATATGCTTGAATCATAATAATTTTATATTATGATATAATATATCATAAATACTTATTTATTTTTTATAATTCCAAATGTCTAGTAAATTACTATACTATATGACTATTTTTTGTCGTGTTTTTAACTTTYCTACGATTCTATGAAATTTAGACAAACGAAAATGTTTGAAGAATAAGAATTGCAGCGATTATATTTTTATTTTTTAAAATTATATAATGTTCTGAAATATAGAAATATTTACAAGTTTATAAATTAATAATTTCACATCAGCTATAAGTTATGAAATACATTTTAGTTTAAAATCTTCACRACTTTACCTACAGTTATAAATTAAAATTCCGTGCAAAATAATATTAATTTGTTGCCAGTAATTTAAATAATACGTAATTTTAAAGAATGTATTAATTTAAAAATATCTGTACCTGATACAAGAAATGTGTATTAAAYCTTCATCAATTACATCTTACTCATTGTGTTTGTTCACTGTTTGTATACTTTTGTTTATTTGTTAATAGTAGGTACGCGTATTATAGTTTTTTATTAGCTTATTATTTTTTTTTTACACAATTATATTTAAAATAAGAACAATGACAATATTTATTATAATATTTTCCTTGGTTTTAAATGTAGACAATACTTCTATAGTTACTAAGGAGAGGTGGGTGGTTGGTGGAGGGACTTCTATTGTTTGTTTCTTGATTTAAAATTTAAACTATTTATTTACAATTTTTTTCTTTTTAATTAAGAATTTTTCTACTATCATAATAATAGTTATAACTTATAAGTAATCAAATTTGATAAAATTAAAATAAAGTAATTAAAATATGAATACCTAAAGCCTTACTTTAGGGTACGAGAATATGTTTGGTGCATGTTTCGCTTATAATATATTGCATGATATTCATGATATATCGTATTACACATTATTGTTAACAGTAAAAAATGATCTCATTTAAAAATCGATTCTGAGCGTAAAGAATTTTACTTGTTTGGTTGACATTAAAAAAAAATTATCGTAGGTCTTATTTACGGAAATTTCTTCTTGTCTTCTTATTTATAAATTATGAGCATGATTTAACTACCCTTTTAAAATATTATCCATATACCTACTCGATTTCTGATCTATAATACTATAGGTATACATGTTGTATAGGTACACGAAACTACTTAATCTCCGTTCWACCCGTGATAGTACCTACTTCAGAAAATATACTTAAAGATTTGAAGAAATCATTATGTTAGCGGGTGGTTTTTTCGTCATAAAGAATTATTTTTCGAATACAAACATTAATCATTGTTTTCATGYAAATCAAAAATTACAACATTCCGTCTCTAACTCGAAGAAGACTGCGCACCGCCTCGACTATTTCGTACCAATACGAGAAGAAGAAATTTGATGAGTAATTATTATTAATATGGCGTTATTTGTTTTCTCCGTCTTAMAAGTATAAATAGCTACCAAGAACTGTTTTGCGCGGGAAAGAACCACTCACCAGGCTGTAGTACAAGCTCTGCAACCAATTTTTCATACTACAAAGATGAAAACATTAACTGTGGAACGTTGTTTTTCAATTTTTTAGTTTTTCAAATTTGAATAACTATTTTTTTTAATTCTGATATCAAAAAATAAAAACATTGTCATGTAACGTAAATGTTTTCTTTTTTATAGTGTGAAAATTTGGTTGCTTATAGCTTGGTCTACTGTCTACTGCTTTAGTGGTTCTTTTTCGCGTAAAACAGTTTTTGCTGTTTTTACATTTGTAAGAGTGAGACAAAACAGGTTGGTGTAGCGTCGTCTTAAGAGTTTATAAGAGTAATAGTTCAAATTATTTTCATATTATTTTTAATTAGTTTTCAGAGTTTTCTTGATATAATATGTTGTTCTAATGATTTAAAAGAACGATTATTGTATTTTTATTCGATTTCCTTTTCTCTTACAGTTAATATAAATACCTATACTGTAATTATTTTTTAAATATTTATGTCATACCTAAGCATAACTATTTAAAACTAATAATTATTATATTATATTATTGTAATTTGTAAGGTCATTGGCATATTCAGATASGTTTTGGATTTTCATCTCTTTTATAAATACAGTTAATAGGAATTGCATTTCGAATCGATGTGGATAATAGTCTCGTTTAAATAAAGGTGAAATATTTTATCCTCTTGCCATATAGGCGTCTTATTATATATAGTACGTACGCTCTGTACCATTCACTCTCGTTTACTTTGTCGTGCTCGACAGGTGAATAAATACCTGTAATTAACTCCGACCACACAATTTCCAACTTTTATATACGTATATATTATAATGTATCTTATATTATATACAATACGCAATTAGCATCTGTTTGCATTTGTACCATGGTGTTACATTATTATATTATGTTATTCATCGACACGTGTGTTGGTGTTACTGGAAAAACTAACGTTCCCCTCGATTATTTAAAAAATGTTCAGACAACTGTTATTTACGCTACTCGCTGGCTTACGCTTTCGTTCAATTATACGTCATATATACAACGTTTCACGCCAAACGATCTTGTGTATAGATTACCGTAAATTTAACGAACGCGAAATTTATTCGTCCAAATCAGTCGGATTTGTTAGGTACTGCTTTTACCATGCCGCATTTACAATAAATTGTTAGCATATAGCTATTATGTGTTTGAAAAYATCGACGRCTCAGTGAAAAACAGATATGTATACCTATAATACCTATATATTATTTGGTTTTTGACCTAAAATACGTGCCTTTAAATATTAAGTAGATGTTAAACTTCGTATCTCTGTTTTGTAATACACCTTCATGTACGTGTGTTTATTTGTACCTACTTATTAAGTTGCAGTAAATGTTTAAACTATTGTATTTAAAAAGTTTATTTAAGTTCTAAAAAAAATAAAATCACGTCTACTTCACGTTGTTGAATATTATGATTTTGTGCTCTCGGTAAGCCACATAAATATGACGGTTACAACAAATTTAGATATTAAATTTATTATTTCCTTAAACAGATTCTTATAGAAAATGTTCTATTAAGCTTTATTTGTTCACAACAGTTATATCCTAACTGGTGCGTGGTGTGCCGTGAGGCTTATTATATAGGTATTTTTAGGTTTGCAGCGAAATGTCATGATTATTAATAATAACGCTTACGTAAAAATTCGATGATAAGTTAAAATATTTTTTAAATTAAATTTCAAGAAAAGCATTGAATGTATATTGCTATTTTCGGTGATGGAAACTTAAAACGAAGGGCAACCTTTTTCAAATTTTTCACTATATACGACTGAATTTTTTAATGTTATCGTAATGTACCTAATCGTTGTGTGATGTCTCTATTTTTCCATACAAATACATTTAATATTTGTAATAAATTAAAACATGATTTTACATGAGTTTTCCTAACCTATATTAACACAATTTTAAATTATTTGCCAGTAATTTACTGATATTCAACTATTTTGGTATTAATGATATGACTAAAGCTTAATGTCCTGATATTAAAGATATATATATATATATATATATATATATATATATATATTACAAAAATGTAACTCAGTGCCACTGCCAAGTATGGTATAGTATATGACGTGAGAGAAAAGGGTTGTAAAACGCTGTTTTACAATGACTAATCTCAAATTATATAATACTATTGAGAGTACATATAGATAGGTCTTAAGACCGTTTAGGATAAGACGGATATTTAGAAATTCTTGACCACATATTGAATTTATTATTTAGAGAAGTCGAAAGTGTTCGCAGACGCATCGAACCGTGTGTCAGTCGGACACGGTTGGAAGTCTTCAGATGAGGAACGTCGGAGGCTCTTTACACGTGATATTGTCTTATGATATACATATACCTGTATAAACTCACACAGATATATGYATATATATAGTGTAATTTATTATAAATATCTTAATTATACGATATTATGTATTATGTATTATATGTAACATGCAGCTATTATACTGCTATTACATTCAGTCATAAATTAATAATTATTCATTTTATTATTTTTATACCATAATATATTATTGTGTTGCTCATAAGAATTATTATTTAGTTTTAATGTTTGTAATAATAATTATATATCGTTCGTCCGATTTGATTTTAATCGACAAATTGTATATAGGCATGACTATAAATAATAATAATAGTAATATATTATAATTCACTGAAAAAATRCAGAATATTATGTTGATAAGTATATTTAATACAACTATAGGTATTATACACTTAGCATGTAAATTGTAAATGTATGGCTTAAGTATACTTATCTAATAACGCACCGATGTAACCTAATCCTATACACGTATTGAAACAGTTGTATCGCGTTCACATTATTATATATTTTAAGCGATTGTAAAAAAAAAAAAAATGTGAAAACGCATATCGTATAACAATAATAGGTATGCGTTTGTTTTAAAACTGTATTTCCATTAAAATAAAACATGACTATATAATACGGACTCGGGGTTTCTCTACTATAGTTATATTTAAGTTTATAGCTTAGTTTAATCGCTCATAATAATGATCTAAATTATTTGAATTTTTCTATTCATTTGGTCCCTGTCCTTCGACTTATCCTCGTAAACACACAATTTCTGCCTTTGCTAATTTCCCGTCATTGGACTGATATATTATATTATATAGRAAATACGACGTTTTTATCAGTCATAATCATCGCAAAAACCTAAACGTAATTAGAAATGGTCCCAGTTTTATCGACTACGTCACTTGCGTATGTGATATTATTATTGTTAAGACTCCCGCGACGACCGGATACCCACCAACGCCGCCAAACTGAGCACGAGTGTCTGATCGCCAAATTGGTGTTCGTGTGATTTCAGAAGAAACCGGTCGTCGTCGTCAGTGGCTCATCCATCATCGCAATGTGGACGTCGTCCCGGATCGGTCGCCAAGTGACCTCTGCGTTCATGTGCAACCGTCACCTGCAGCTGCTTCAACGGCAGCACCAGCACCAACAACAACTCCAGCACCAACAGCATCACCTACAGTTGTATTCCTCGACGGCAGACGGAGCAGTGGCCTCGCCATTGCGTTGCATCAAGAAAAAATCTGACCGGGCACCGCCCAAGCACCTGGTGGACGAGAGGGTTGTCCGTGCGATCGGTGGCCGTGGCGGTGACGGGCGCGTGTCGTTCATGAARCTTTTCGGCAATGAGAATGCAGGCCCAGACGGCGGGGACGGAGGTAACGGTGGCCACGTGGTGTTCCGAGCGGCCGAGAACGTAACCGGGCTAGGGCACTTAGCCGTTGAGCTTAAGGCGGCCGATGGCGAGCGGGGCTACARCAAGGACTGCCACGGCAAGTGCGCAAATCATGAGTATGTGGACGTGCCGGTTGGCACTGTGATCAAGGATGGCGATGGCCGGGTGGTTGGTGACCTGAGCCGGCCTGGTGTCATGTTCGTGGCGGCCAGGGGTGGGGCGGGCGGGCACGGTAACCGTTACTTCGCCACAGACACGGAGCAGGCGCCCGAGGTGGCCGAATTGGGCGGTGCAGGCGAGGTACTCAGGTACACGCTAGAGCTGAGCAGCATCGCCGATTTCGGGTTGCTGGGCTTTCCTAACGCGGGCAAAAGCACTCTGCTCCGAGCCATCACTAGGGCCCGACCCAAGGTTGCCCCGTACCCATTCACTACGCTCCAGCCGCACTTGGGCGTGATCCGGTACGACGACCAAGAGTCKGTGGTCGTGGCAGATTTGCCCGGGCTCATCGAGGACTCACACCGCGACCGCGGCTTGGGCGTGTCGTTCCTGCGGCACGTACAGCGGTGTACCGCGCTGTTATTGGTCGTCGACCTGTCCGCGCCCGAGCCATGGACGTACGTGGATGTGCTCAGGCACGAGGTCCGGTGCTTCTCCGCCACGGTGCTCGACCGGCCGCAGCTGATCGTGGCCAACAAGGTAGACGTGGACGGCGCCAGAGACAACTTGGCCGAGCTCAGGCGTCGGTTGCCTGACGACGAAATCGTCGAGATATCCGCCAAGCACGGTGTCAACTTAGAGTGCCTACTGAAGTGCATGAAGCGAGTGTACGACCATCGGCGCAGATCTATAGAAGCGGACGCCGCCGATGATTTTGACTAGACTGCACCAGTAAAACGATGATCAATCATCACGTTATAATGCTGTATTATTATTATTATTATTATTATTACTATCGAACTTTATATAGGTCGTGATCTATATAGTGATTTTTGTGTTCAATGTATTATTTGTGTTTATAACAAAATGTATACTTTATAATAAAATGATGACTATACTGTTACACTCATATACTTAGAAATCATTTATTTTTATTTTATCAGAATTATATACCTAGCTACTTACCATTTTTACACTGTTTTTTTCCTCAGAGAGCGGTATCGCTGTTTTTTTTTTTTGCTATTAACGTTTGATGTAACATTTTACAATTGTTTTCKTTTTAACACTACATATTAGCTCATATAAATCTGATTATTTAAAAAAATTCTATATTTTGCTAGCTGCTTTMTTTTTTSTGTAACTTGTCAGATTTGAATGCATCAGTGTATATTAGTTATAGTTAGTTATTAGTTATTAGTCAGTTATTAGTTATTAGTCAGTTATTAGTTATTAGTCAGTGTATATTAGTTATACACAATTCATCCTTGTCTAATAGTATAATATAGGYCCGTGTTATATATACCTACAGTTAAGTAACTAAGTTTTCGATACTAAAAAAAATTCTTTTTCTGTACTACCCTCTTTACTCTTTCCTCTGGTATGTGATATCGAAAAAAGTGGCGGAATTATCGGTTTTATCCTCGTGCTGCAGCCGTTTCCTATAACTGCAATTCATCATAATTAAAACCTTCCTCATACCAAACACGGCAAMATAATAGCTCTAACTTGTCAATTAAATTGAGTACCTAATAGTATTCAAATCAATTTTAGATTAAAAATTATATTTTTTCTCAATACGGTTGTAATTAAAAAATATTGTATCGAACCCCTTTTGCAAAAGATGATGATGTTACGCGGAAACTGTACATAATATATAATTTTATATGCACCAAAGACTAAAGTATAGAACCACTAACCAGTTAACATTTAGATTCTTCCCTCACCTGCAATCACTGCCACAATCATAATAAATCACACATCGACATATTTCAATCGTGCAGCAGTTTCTTCTAAAAACGTGTGGGGACCAATAAACTAATGCGGAGGACCTATTAATAATTTATACACACTGGCACAACGCGTGTAACATATATATGYATGTAATATATGTACCACTAGTTACGTAACGATGAAAACATAATGTTCTCGTCGGGTATATAGAGGTCGCGGGGTTTGAACGTCGGTGTCTCGGCCAAAGATTTCTGAAGCAAAAGAAAAAAAAAATTGAAAATAATGAAAAATTACCCTCACTTAGGTATATACTCGCAAATAAATCACGCATGCGATCGCGCATAAATCACTGTATATAGTGGAATAGGCACCCCACCACCGCACACGAGCACTGCACAATCATAGGTAACATGTATAAATATAAATGTAGATTATAGAGTCGACCAGCGGTAACAGTACGCATGGTATATGTATGCACACGATGGTTAAATGTATGGTATAATATGCTAATGAAGAGACCGATATATGATGCGCCACCAAAGAGAGAGTGATCTCGACCGCGGCTCAGGCGCRTATACGTTATACATATTATTGTGCGAATATAAATCTTCGAGATTTGATTATTTAATCGACGAGTCGTGTGCGCGTGATCCCGACCGATACAGGAAACATCGTCGTCGCSGTCGTGTGGTATATCCTGTTTATCCGTTGTTGCGGGGATGAAATAGCGGAAAAGTCGTTTTAAAACGCACGCCGAAAAATCTGGACCACACGGAGAGGATCGATGTGATTCGAAATCTGTTATTATTGTTATTAAATATTATCTCGTCGACGATACGCGTATAATTGAATGATTGTACATGGCAACAATAATAACTACGATATGATTGCTTCATTGCAGATTGTTCATTTATATATATATATATATATATATATAATACGTCTAGGATGCGGCAAAATAATATTTTGTTGTATAGAGTGAAAGTTAGTACAGTTGTGCCTATAAGTTTGTTGTTTTCAAACTTTTTTATAATGTGTGGTCCCCTTGATTATGTGCGTTGTATAGATAGTTATACTCACTTAAGGTTTAACATTTTAATTTATAAAATCGCGTTAAAATAATAGGATTTTTTTTTCTTAATCATAATATATTGGTACTAAAATTATAAATGTTTAGATTAAATAAACATCAAATACATAAGTATAAGTACATTTTGTTATACGTTGATAACAGTTTTATAACTATTTAAAACTTTCAATTATGCATCAATATATATATAAATTACTAATTAGTACCTTATAATATATTATTAGAACAAATAAATGGGTTTTAAACTACAATGTGACAGTCGATAGATCGTCCATATCAAAACTTAAACCGTTGGTACCTATAGGTAGGTAAGTAATGCGTAGTTATATTATAATAATATGTTGCAATTATATTATGATGACATGTGCTGTTTGTGAGTTTTTTTTTGAGTTACCGTTTTACCTAACCTTACCGTTTTACAGCTGATTGAACTAGTCTTCTGCGCATCAATTAGATTTTTTTAATTTTAAATGTCATTGCAGCGATTGGTTGTTACGCGTATTATTAAATTTCCATATTCCACACCATCAACTATACGCACTTTGACATTTTTAAATTTGATTTGGAAGACAAGTCCATTATATTCACGTTTAAAACCTGCAGCAATATATCACTAATTATAATATATTAAATGCTATATAATTGTTCCCTGGTCCCAAACGGCGTTTGGTTTCAGTCACTAACGTGTTTTGAAGTTAAGCATTGGTCGGTTTCGTTATAGTTACCGGACGGGTAAACTACTCGGGTTTTAATAGTGACAAATCCTTGTCGCACATTCAAGTGTTCTAACCAACCTTAGGCTATCTCACAGTAATAAACCTATATATACCTTATAACCTTGGCTAATCATCTCTGATGTTGAAGCCTTAACTAAAAAATATATACATATTATAATAGTTAAAATTAATTGATTTTAGTTTAGACCTATTTTGATAAAAAAAGTAAAATTTTGACTATTTGCATACATATATTTATGAATTAATAAACAATTGGACTTTATTTTCCAACTTCGTTGTTTGTTAACAAAGTTTTGTTTAATAATGGTAGAACATCACTTTGAAATAATACGAACTTGGTGACTCAAGTCTTTCCATCGAGTGTCACTCATTCTGTACTATTAACTTTTTGAATTTATGTCTCGGACAGTAGAACGTTTCGTCATACCACACACACTGTTAATCAAAAATTAATATATAGGTACTCATTGTGTATCGCCACATCAGTTAACAGAAACAATCAATTTATTGGTATACGCGTTGTATAATAGTTCATCTACTATTTTTATTTTTTTATTTTTATTTTATAATATTTGTTTGGATAAATAAAAACGGGATAACATATAAATAACTCATTACAGGTAGCAGTAAATAACGTTCGTTCAAAAAAAATGTMATTTAGCAACAAACAAACTATACTAGCTGGGTGATCCATTTTAACTTATACAATATAATCTTGTAAGAAAACTGTTATTACTTTTCATACATTTTTATGAAACGTGTGATTTTCGGACATAATACAAAAATCAGTTTTTGGTTATGAACATACGAATGTGTATAGACGAGCTCGGACCACAACTTTTCCGGGGTATACAATCAAAATCGATTTTGAAAAAAAGCATTATTATTATAGTAAAATATACATCGACTTTAAGTGTATAGAAAAATAATAATAGAATTCGCTTAATTATGTAATCCACTGGTGGATAAACTTTTGGCTTTTTTTTATTATTTAATGTTTATTAAATCATTCGTAGCCCGCCGTCGCTTTATTAATTCGCATTTGGCGCACAAGTAGACGGCTGTGTTATGTATATACATATATTATATTATGTTCACTCGTAATTGAATTTATGTGCTCCATTCGGTTCGCAGACCTAAACGCCGGGCTCGGAGCGGGGGCGAATGGAGATGCGGAAACTTTCGGTTTCGAATAAAATGTATACGTAAAATAACAATAATAATAGTAATAATTGTTGAATTTTTCAGAGCACGTGGACGTCTGTGTCTGTGTGTGAGTGTATACCACTATATATATTATTATTAGTATTAGGATTCTATGACCGGGGTGAGGCGTTACGCGTAAAAGGAAAAACGACGACGACGACGCTCGGGTCGTTTCGGGCTCGCGTATTTTATGCATTGCGCGCTCGGGAATAAAATACGCGTCTACGTCGCGCGGGTAGCAGCTTGTCCGTGGCAATAAATATATATTTTACGTCACCCGCCCAAAAAAAAAAAGCAGGGAAAAAACGTACGTAAATATTTACTCTTCCGGCGAAACCCGTGCCCTATAATATATGAAGTGCGGTGTACCGACGCCGCCGCCAGGGGAATTGCAGAGCGCGTCTTCTTCGCCGCTCCGAACCGGAAGTATTGAGATTTATGAAAATCACCTGAACTGAACGAAATACGCGAGTACGTATATACGGTTTTACGACTTGTCCGTCTGTCGTTGGCTTATTTTGGATCTCTATGCAGGTCGTAGGCTGCTAATATTATACTTTATTCGAGTACACACGTGTTTTATAATTTAAGAGGAGTAAAATTTTACGCTTCGATTTCGATTGGCATACATACAGTGACAGACGGGCTCRACCGACGTTTCGTATAATATATATAGGTATTATATTATCTGCACAACAATAAAATTTAATTATTTGTTGAAGATTAAAATGTTCAACATTTGTATATAAGAATATAAGACGATTTTGCGAGGTCTTAATTATTTAGCAGAGTTTCAATTTTAGAAATCAATCGTAATAAAACTATCGTTGTCTTATCTTCATGTTTTTTAACTGTGATATTATATTCAAGCGTATTTTAAAAGAGTTCTATTAAAGTATTATACTTATTTTACGACTAAATATTAATAATTATTTTTTTATTTTTCAGGTATGTATCTGTGGAGATTTGAAATAATTAGAGATTAAATTATACAACAAATCTACAGCGTTTAACTTATTGTTGTTGTGTATAGATTTCGATTGGGTGAGTTTGATAATTAGTGCATTATATCATAATATATTATATTACCAATCTTAAATCGTAAAATAAAGTAAATTTATGCAAAGGGTTACATTATATATAAACAACTTTATTAGTACCTATATAAATATATATGTGTAAGATGAAATGTCAAAAATAGCAACAATGATCCTTATTATATTTCGATTTAGTTTCAAATGGTATTATATGAATGGTCCTGGATTCGAGTTTAATTCATGATTTTTCTGAACGCGTATTTGTAATTCGTGTTTGTTGTCTTAATCTGCCGTGATTCGCCGCGTGTTTTGTTAAGTTGTAAGTTTACTTGCGCGGTTCCGATTTTTGAGACATTATATACACCATAATACCATATATATTTAGTCTTCATGAAATACATATAATATATTCAATTAAAATAACGTAAAATTTAAAAAAAWTTGTAGTGTTACGAGTCTCCGCCCTGTGTAAGCTATTGCGGAGCACCAACGGCTCCTAGGAACACGGTTTGGGAACCGCTGCCGTAGATGAATCAATGTCCGCTGTTTTAGTGTAACAAAAATAATCAGRATACTTTAATAGAGGTATATATTGTATAAAATGTTGCCATATATATGTTTCGTTATTATTTAAACGAAATAACATTTCATCTTTCGATTTGACTGGCGTTTTAATATATATTTGTCGCACACTGACAAAGTTTTTTACGTGTCATAAGCTTGGTGTGAACTTTTGATTTGCACAGTATGCCACTATGCCATTCACAGCGATGGTATATTAATTACAAGATGTCTGCATGCACGTCATCACTGTTGAACCTAAATAATTTACTTTACAGATTACGATCGTAATAATACTATAATAGGTTATAGGTAGTCATCAATTCTGAACTGTGAATTCATCTTACTAAAGACTATTATAATAGTGTATATTTATAAGTTACTTTTTAACTTAAGTAGCACGAGTGTACGACGAAGTATCACAAGTCACAACTTATAGGTATGCGCTAAAATTTAGCCAGAATACAACATGTTTATTGTACCAATAGCCAATAGGTATAATAATGAAGTAACAAAAGGTGACATTTAACTGTTTTTAAACTGAATTTAAAAATGTTAATAAATAACTATAAAAAAATGTCATAAATATTTTTTATATATTCATTCAAATAAGTAGTAAAAAATACAACCTTTATAACCAAATAACATATTTTTTCAATTTGTCTGTATTCGCTGTACCTAAATACTAAAACACATGAAAAATATTTTAAAAATTTACAAAATATAATTTCGTGCATGTCACTGCAGGTATAATAAAATTTAGGCCTCTTCATTTCTTATTATCATGCTTATTTTATTGTTTTAAACGTATTTCAATCCCTGATAGCCATTTAGATTTTCATAGTTTTACACTTTTGTGCTTAATATATTATGTATATAGAAAAACGGAGTTTTGCATTTTTTGCTCTTTCCGTAAATTAATTATAAGAAAAATAAAATTTTCTTTATTTTACTGTACTTAGTTTAATATTTGTTAACTAACTTTTTACTGTGCTGTAGGTATAAATAATAGTATAAATAATATTACATACATTTGGCATGAAGTGATTTATTTACAATCGATAACGATATTTTATATGCACGTTGTAGGTATAAAAGGTATTTACGGATTGCAGTTATTGATATTTAAAATCGTTCCATAATAGTAATAATTTATCTTATATCTACTCCCATCAAAATGAATACAAAGAAAAACCATTTAGTTCTCAATAATATATCATTATAAATTCTTATTTAAAATCAATTGTTACAAGAATTATGTGTAAAATACTTGTGCTGCGTATTATATGTATATTTTAGATGATATTTTATTTAACAGCAATGATAAGTACTATACGTACTTAATATCTGCGGTTTAAATATGGAAATATTTTAAAATCGAAATTATTATTCAAAACGTTAGCGACTGGTTTCATTGATGTCCGCTATAATATGTCATGGAAAAACGTGCACGTTTCATGAACTGCAGCCAGCGGCATTTTGACAAAACGTTCAAATTGACTTTTTTTCGGACAAATTTAGTTGTGATAAAAATTATTTGGACATAACCGTAGCAACTATTTGAATATTTCACATTATAGGTATAGTTATTATATTTTTTTATRATACAATATTTTTCAGTTTTCACTACAAAATAAATATTATTGTACAAATATAATTTTACTATGAGCAGCTCGTCGTGAAATGAATGATGAGCAGCTCAGCATTWATATATTGCAGTGAAATTTCTAAGTACCAGACACTTTCTGYAATTKAAATTTTGTCCGATATTTAGAGGGTTCTGTTTGTAGACACGCTTTGTAGTCTCCCCCACCAAAAAAAATATAAAAAATTCACTACTTGGAGATGTCCGTTAGTGGAAGTTTCACTGTTGTATAAGTAAAGTATCATATATAATCGTAAGGAAGAATGATGGAATTTTGTGGTTATTATGAATACAAAAGTATAATTGTTTATCGTCGTTAGATATAGTAGTGTGTATATTGTATAATATTTTTACCGTAATACTGCATCAGTTGCAGTCTAGAAATTAAATCGAATTTTGAATTTTGAGTTGCAATTTATTTAAGCTCTTCTACTTTTTTTTTAGCCAAAAATTCTCAACCATTTGATGGTTTGATGAAAATGTTTTTACTTTCAACCACTGTGCACGCGTATTCTTATTTTAGATTAATAACCAACGTTTTCAGTCGTTTTGTTCTGAACAATTTTACACTCGACGTCTGCAGACAATAGGAAAACATTAAAACATAGTATGGATTCTCATGTATACATATATATACGCTTGTCGCTTGCCAAATATGTRGTTCATTTGTGTGTGCATCATATATGCGTCCTGAGTAAAATAGATGTGCATCATTAATCATTATTGTTAAACCTGTAAATTTCATAGAAACTTTTTGTGTGTGAAAAAATAATAAATAAATTAAATTTGTTATCTGGCTTAACATATAGCCATTCTGGTAATCCGTAGAAAATAAATTATGAGACTTAAATAAAATATCATATTTATATTTTCAATTACCAATATTAGATCATATTTTGAAATTTAAAGCTAAATTTGAATACTATTTTTTTTTTAAAACCTCGTGTTAATCATATATTATTCTATTAATACATTAATACATCAAATTTTCAAACAACAATTAAAATAAAAAGTGTTAATTTATTATTTAAAATATAGATATATTATATAATATCTACAATAACATACACTAACTGGCAAGTAGACAATAGCAGTTTATGTTTTCCAAATCAAATTKCTCATATTCTTTTAACTATATAATATATATTTGATATTATATAATTGTAAAATTATATCGACATATGAGTTTTGTTATAGCTTAAAAATAATGCATTTTAGTTTCGTTGATTTTAAAACTCATATTGGTACATAATATTATATGGATTGTAAAGAAACCATTCTTTATATTTTACCCATTGTAGTCCAACTTCACAATTAGATAAATATATAGATAGATAGATAGGTACAAATATATTATACATATATTTTACATAGTGACACTATAAGTTTTAGTGCTAATAGAATATTAAAATACATATTTGTTTAAAAATCATCCAGCAACAACACATTTTCTGATTTAAATGAAGTCTATAATTTTAAAATCATTCTTATGAATTTAATATTAAATRCATATAGTATATTTAATGAATATTGAATACTAATATAGCAACTTCGTCGTTAATAAAATTCTAGAAATCCTAGTTTAGTGTGTGTGTATACCGGTGTGTTTTAATAACTTCTACTTGATGCCGATGTTCACTAAGAATTGTTGTTTTTATACTCTGAACGAACGCTTTTATTTTATAACCCTACCCCGGATTATTCCGGAATATTAGTTCTATTAGAATCAGATTAATTTTATTTGCCGAAGCTTAAAAATATAAATTGCATAAGTATACATATGTTTTTGACAGTTTTTGACGATCCACTCTAACAGGTGTGCCGCTTTAAATTCGAAAGCTTTTATCGCCGAATTGGTTCGGTTGAACGATTAGAATTTTTAAACGTTTTGAAGTAACTTTATTCTGCAATTAAAAGGACATGATCTAACCTATATACTTATACTGCCTTTAAAATGTTTAAATGTTTACCCGGTTATGTCGTAATAATATTTTGGAGTGTCTAATTTATTACAGTTTCCTATTTTTCTTAATTTAAAACCTGATTGAAATTACATTTGTATTAATAATTGATTGTTAAAAGCTTGATCATAGATAGGCCACTCTGTTCATGATTTTGGGAATAGAAATATACTAATCATTTTATCTTAAAATAATAAATTATAGTTATATCTTATGTAAATTGATCGGTATTGCAGTAATTATTTATGGCTTTGTTGAATTTTTCAAAAATAACTGGCTATATTATAACCTGCAGTAACCACACACTATTTTAAAGTCATCTCGATTTCATTAATATAATTCTATACCGGCTTAATCTGATTAGYTCTTATAATAGTGTAATTCATTGTTTTCACCATTATGTAATGAATGTACTTGGTAATAACTTATTATTTGGCTTCATCTTATGCGAGTAAATGCTTAATTAGCTTTAATAGGTCAAATTACAATCATACATTTTGAACAGTTTCAAGTAAAAATTAGAGTATATCATAGAAATGGAAATTTTGTCAATTTTTATTATTTATTCGTCATGCATACCTACATAGTTATTTTTAAATCTTTATACATAATATATTATAATATACTATATATTATATGTGTCGTCAGTTCATGCCCATAATTTATTTCTTTGTTTTATAAATGAGTGATATGACTTAAATATAAATAATGTTTAATTTAATTTCAGATCTGTATAAGAAATAAATAGTAAAAGAGATAATATAGTTTTAAAAATCAACGTTGGGCTATTATGATTATAATTAATACAATCTTACTATTATTTGAAAATACAAATCACTTTAAATACATTTCATACTTACATAAAAATAATAACATTTATAAGTATGAAAGGTAACACAATATATGTTTTATTTCAAGTTGCTTTCAAGTGAACGATAATAAAACACAATGAATATAAAATAATAATAATACAAATTACCGAAACTTAATTTTAACGTGCAATGATGTTCTACGTTCATACAGCTTCACTATGTCAATTGCAGAAATTAATTTTTATGTTCGTCTGGCATCTGCGTCGTAAGTGTTATATTCAGATGGTTTTCAACACTTTCAATGACCACGGGAGTGGWTAGAGTCGTCACGTGTATCCTATTAGTTTGACCATATGATGAAGTCTTCGATAAAACACCGATCGAATAAGTGGAACCGGGCATCAAGTCGTTTATCTGAAATTTTCAAAAGCATAAATATATATCTATTAATTCGTTACCGCCTATGGCTATCTGCTGTATGGTGTATGGATATCACTATATCAGTACCTATTGCTTATATTCGCTGTAACGCGTAACTACATTATTAATTATTCCGCGATCGATCTTAAATCTACATTAAAAAAACTTAAAAATTACCGTGCAATTATAAGATGGGAGTTCTTTTGYTATCAGAATCTSTATATCGGGTTTGGTGACGCAGCATTTATCGATGTCTTTAGATGAAATCTCTTCGGTGCTTACTATGAACGATTTTAGTACACCGTTGAATACCAATGGAATGTCCCATTCCAGTGAAATGTTTGTAGAGCCAACGTATGTTGTCCTGAGATTTTCTGGTTTATCAGCAACTGTTAACATTTGTATTGAGCATATATTGTTGTTTAACTTTTTTGAGACCTGTAACTAAGTATTTTGTACACCTAGTAATGTATACTTACATCCTTCAGTGAAATTGGTGACGACTGATGCCGTCAAACCACCTGTAGGAAAGTCTACCGACTTGGCCTTTATCTGTATAAAATACACAATATTATATGAAGTTTTATATTATAGCTTATAAAAAACTTTAATTTGATATTTGTTGAATAGTATTATACTTTTATTGTGTATTGGTGGTTTGGTATAAGGCTTTCAAAGGTAGTGCAGTATAGTTTTGGCCAAGCAATGCATCTTTGGGGTTCTATAGTAATTTGCTTTGTGTTATTCATATTCTCGTCGATTGCGCTGATGATAAAACCGTTGAWGATGTTTTCRTCAGRGAAACTCCATCTGATTCCAATTGATTTGCGTTTCAAGTTTTTCTTGTAAACTATTAATTCATCCACTGGTTCTAAAACTGAAATGTAATAAAAATAATGTATGATATATAGTATGCACTAAAATACCCAGTGGCGTGTATGCATGACATCATAAGGGAAAGGAAATTGATGTCAAACTATTTGGGAAMAWAATGTACAGTATCATTATTACATTTAGTTTTGGTTTTGAACGGTATCAACAATCCTTGTTCGGAGTTGTATCCATAATTCGTCAGTACGTATAATTGCAGTTCGTATTTGGTGTCGGGTTTTAATCCGTCGTAGTTCACCGTGTTTTGTTTAGTTGAGATTTTTATTTGCGTGCCATCGGTAATGTCCTATGTACAATACGGTATCATTTTTTTTTGTTTAAATTTTATAAAAATCTAAAATATTATTTGATATTGTTTTGTATGATTATGTGTMAATGTATGTTGTGTAGATGTCACAAAAAGTCAAATTGATGCACTATACTAACTTTAAGTATGACCTGATATCCTCGAAAGAAACCATTTAATTTAGTACACTCAGTCTTGTTTATCGTCCAATTRAAGTATGCGCTTTGATTGGTGACAAACGAACCATTTGCATCGTTAATTACAGGTGTTAATTTTGGATCTATAAATATCAGTTGGATATTATAAAAGGTTTTGAATGGGTTTAAGAGTGTGCAACACCCGTATTTGTTATCTCTGCAGTCTTACAAATGCGTAACATAGCAAATTTACGCTCAGCAGTTAATGTTTTACCCCGTTAGCTTAACAATTGAATGATAATTCCTAATATGAAACTTGTTGGTAAGAACATTATTTSTTTTTTTGGGTGTATTTTTACATTAATTCAGTTTTTAAGTGAGTTATGCGCGTATAATATATTGTAAAATAAAAATGCTCATAACTGAGACAACAAATACGGGTGTTGCRCCCTCTTAATACTGACATTTTTGAAAACTACTTACTAGAGATAGGTGTTTTTACAAAAACTGTATTAGTGTAGTCGTTGTAAGTATAGCCTTCAATTATGGGGTCAACTTTTATAACATACTGTGTATTCGGAGTCAAATCTATAATTTCGCATCTTGTCTGATTGTAAACTAACAGCGATGTCCAGTTGTTAGTAAGGACTTCGTTTGAACAGCTAAAATGTTTAATAACCTAAACATAATTTTCAATAAATTAACTTAAAATGTTGCCGTATAGTTATTTATAGTATGAACKTCATACCTTGTATTTAATTGTATAATTCAACGACCTTTTTACATATTTTTCGTCAATATCCCACGTTATTAACAGTGATGAACTCTGATTTAGTTTGGCTTTTATGTTTTTTATTTCTACAAAATGAATTATCAAAAATGAATTTTTATTTTTATGGTGTATAAACATTTCAATAAAATTATATTTTTTCAAATGCTGTATGTACAATACCATATAGTTCAGTGTAAATATATGATATTTGTGATGGTGTAGCTTGACCCGTAGCCCATATTGCTGTTACTTGAACTGCATATTTTTCACCAGATAGTAGATTTTCAAAAATATGTCCATTATTATTATTAGATTTTACTTCTTCTGAATAACTTTTTTGCTGTGTATCGGTGTACATCAGTTTTAACAGGTATTCAGTTATTTTACAGTCCTTTTCGTTTTGATTGTTAATCTATACATGTAATAATAAACATTAGAATTAATTATATCTTATATTTGTTTGGAATTAAAAAGAAAACAAGGAATAAAATAACCGTAAGGAACATGCTGAAATACATTACCCAATTTTATTTTAGTTGTTTACCTTGTACCAAGTAACATTGATGTAGTCTGTTCCACTCAATAATTTGACATCATAATCAATATTTCTTGGAACTTAATTATAAAAAAAAATTATTATTTAACAACTATATGTTCTATACTGTTATTAATAATTTAAATTATTTTTTTGTCAGTATTGTGTATACTTAGGCATTTAGTTGAGKAATTGGCTATTTTGATATCCTCTATATTGTAATTTCCGTCTTCTGATACTAGTATCACACCGAAAGAGTACGAAATTCCCGATTCAAGGTCGTCTATGATTTCTATTACGGATTTCTGTTTTCCGAGTTCTTTTAGTTCCAAGTATTGAAATTCAGATTCGTTTGAAGAGKCCTTAAATATATATAAATATTATAGATGCGACTAAATGAGAAGCGTTCCAAATATATGAATATATAACCTCTTTCCCCCTTATATGTATTCGTATTTTGTTAAATTATTGTTAGTTAAGATAATTAAAATATTTATAGAATTTTTATTCTATATATCAACTGCTATACTTATTAGTTATTACCATAGAATTTATCACAATCCTTATCGGGCTTATCCTAACTTTTTAGTTAGTTGGACTGGTGTTTTGAACATCAAAAATAGATTATGTTTAAGTTTTTTATATGGTTATAGTGACTTATATTAAAAGGACGCCACACTAGCATGAAGTTTCTCCGTCTAACAAACGTAGAACATGGCGAAAACTATACTTACGCGGACAACCGTTCTCCCTCAGTATTTATAGTAGAATTATCAAAATTTCACAACGGATAGGTAAGAATAGTGTCATAGCGTCGTTATTTTTTAAGAACATAAATATAATTAAAGTTATAATGCCCAAGAAAATATTATATTTCTACCATAAATCTTGTGGGAGAGCAGTTGTCCCGCGCAAGTACAGTTTTTGCTGTGTTCTACGTTTGTAAGACGGAAACAACGTATTCGGGTGTGGTTTCCACTTAACTACGAAGTTTTGAAACATTTTAGTTTGTATTTATTTTTTATTTTATGAGGATATTTTAAGACTCTCATTAGGTATGCTGTATGCGCTCTACAGACACGTTTATAAAAGTATTTCCATATTATAGGTATGTAATATTAATTGTTAAACGATATTTACCTTAAGTATGATTTGGTAATAGAAAGAGTTGACATTACTACTGCCTTCTATGTTTTCTGAATTAAAATTAATTTTCAATTTTAATGAATTAAAATCGGAGGATTCCAGTTCTGGCGGTGACTTGAGCCACGGATATTCTAATTGCAAAACAAATTATACCATATTAATTTTTTCTTTAACACAATAACACCGCATAGGTTTAATGATTTATAGCTTTACTTTCTTTGCAATCTGGAGCAATATAATTTGCCGTACATCCTTTGTCGCAAACACCAGTGTAAACATCACACGATTTCGATATACACCTCTCTGAACATTGTTGCTCGCAATTTACGCCATACGTACCACTCGTACATTCTTCCCATATAGGTATAATAATACAGTTTATATTTTATTAATAGAACTTGAATTCATGTTGTGCATTAAATATTAAATCTTAAATATAGAGCATTAGACACATCAAATGTCTAGAATAAATCGGAGCTAAGTCAATGAATGAAAAAAATATTGTGGAATAGATATGTAAATATAATCTGTAAATTTCCACTAC